GAGAAAGCAAGGAGGGGAGGGGCGCGGGGGCGGAGGAGAGGAGAGGAGAGGAGAGGAGAGGAGAGGAGAGGCAAAAGGCAGCAAAAACAGTCTTGGGTCAAAAGAGGGAAAACCAAGGAGTAGACAGGCTACAAAATGTCACTGCTCCTGTGGCTGGTGTCCCAGCTGTCATCTTGCTGGAGCAACATCTCTATACTGGGAGTTTTTCTTACGGTCTTTACTTTACTTCTTGACTTCATGAAGCGCAGGAAGAAGTGGAGCCATTACCCGCCGGGCCCAGTGTCTCTGCCCTTCATTGGGACCATGCTGCACATTGACTTCCGAAACCCCCACCTCTCCTTCAACCAGGTGAGTGCTAGCCCCCATGATGAAGTGCCCCCCTACATGACCATGGGCTCAGGAAGGGCAGGATGTCTTGGCATGACCTACCAAGCTGGGGGGCAATGCCCTCTCCAAAGTCCAGGGTGAAGCTAGTTTCTCCCTAAGGACACTGACCTGCACATATGGATAAATAGATAATTACACACCAACACTTAGTGGCCTCGATCTCCTGATGTCAGTGGGAGATCCTGCTGTGTCTCCAGTGACGGATGATGCCTGCACTGCTGTAGAGCTGGCCACCAATTTAACGTGTGGGTGGGGGCAAGGGATCAGGGAGATGTACAAACAAGGGAGGAAAAAGCAAAGATCTGTGGGCAGGGAATGTGGCTGCAGGAATGGCCGACTTCCCTGCCAGTTACTTAGACACGCCTACGGGCATGTGACAGTTTCAGTGAAAGAGATCAGCTGGTGGGATTTGCCCCAGCAGCAATGCCCAAAATCTCCACAGCGGTCCCGTTCCACCCCCGGGCTCAGCTTTTCTCAAAGGGAAGGCACAGCACAGCTGGCAGCAGATAAACCACGGGGGGTTCCTGCTTCAGTTTTACAAAACTCTAAAGGCCTTTTCTCTAGGACGGCACTGTACAAAAACTGCCAAATGGAGAATCTAAACATAGCATTTCTATTATTTGCTTGCACATAGTCCAAAAGATTGCCATTTTTAAGTCACATCACATCAGGGTCATGCTAACCACAATCTTGACCAGTAATTGCTTTTAATGATGTATTTCTAGTGCCAGTGAAGTGCTAATTTCCTTTCCAACCTCACTGCAAATGCAGTCATAAGTACTTCAATTCCTTCCATTGCTACAGTGCAGAAATGAAGACATTTTGCGTTAAAAACAAAACAAAACAAAAAACAAACAACAAGAAGACAGAAAAAAAATTAAAGAAGAGAGCACCATCTGTGGGGCATTGCTACTATGGCATTGTCTTCCAACAACATGCTCCTGAGTGATTTGTTCAGTGTTACTGACTAGCAGGGAAGCTTCAACCATCTCCCCTGGGAGCCTTCCAAAGGGCTTGTCTACCTGGAGGGGACTTAGCTCCATTGGAAGGTCCCATGGTGAGTGTAGGACTGACAGGCTTACCTGTGCAGCCATCCTGCTGTCAGCATTATGCCTCTTAGAGATCACAGCAGATGCAGGGTGTGTGCCAGTTACCAGCCTTACCAGCTGCATACACCCCTTTTAAGGAGAAAGTTGTCCTGAAACTCCACTGTGGAATTGCCTCTTCCAGCTGTGTTTCTGGGAACCAGCCTCTGGGTAGATCTTTAGGAACAAATTCATATTAAAAAAAAAAAAATACATATCACTTTATCAATATTTCCTTCTAGCAGAAGCACACTGACTCAAAACTTGCCTAGTCTTTCAGATCAAAATAAATATAAGTATTAGGAAATAATTCCTTGTTGAACTTGCAGCCTTTGAAAACGCCCCCAAAAGGTCCTTGACCTTGTGTTGTCAGACAAAATCCAAAATTCTTGCACAACGGTCATGGCAACAGTTTGGCCAGGAGAGGTGTATTCTAAATCTTTTCACTCACAGAGCATTGATCCCTGCTTCAGGGAGTTCTGCCCTGCTTCAGCAGTTTGGCACTGCTCTGAGCTGTTGTGCTGCAAAACAAAGGTCAAAGATCAGCTAAAGTTCTCCTAATAAAAGCACCTCAAAAATCACTAAATAGTAAAGGCCCTAAGGAAGGATATGGTGATATTGTCTTGTTACATTCAGCTCATTTTCAGGGACGTACTCTTTTATCTTGGCAGCTTCACAAGAAGTTTGGGAACGTCTTCCATCTCCAGAACTGCTGGACCAACCTGGTAGTACTGAACGGGTATAAAACAGTGAAGGAAGCCCTGGTCCACAGATCGGAGGACTTTGCTGACCGGCCATACTTTCCAGTATATGAACATCTGGGCTATGGAAACAAATCTGAAGGCAAGTCCCTTGGAAATGGAGATTCCCCGCTGGCACTAGTACAAGGAGGCTTGAGTAGATGGTGAATAGATGGACAATTTTCTCAGTACAGTGCCACCTTCTCATGTCCCTCTGGTCAAGCTCCTTGTACGTCTGCCACCCTTTGGTTGTGACAAAATCAGATTTGATGAAAAGGGGGCTCCCCTAAGTGGCAGCAGTACAGGTGGTAGCACACCCCTCTTCAGCGGTGTTAGGGCACTGTCAGTGGTACAACTTCCCTGCCCGCCTTGGAGCTGGCAGCTCCTGACACCCAGTGGTCAGCGCTTATGCTCACACGCTATGTGCATGTCATTTTCTTAAAAAAAAAAAAAAAATTGGTAACTTTCTTCCAAGGCAGAGTATTATCCAGCATCCAGCCCACATCTCTCTTCCTCAGCTCCTGTGCCGCGGCACAAGCTGCCACCCAGTTCACCCAAGCTCCGGGTGCAATGCTGAATGGTTTGGAAGAGCGGTTCCTTTATCCCTGGCAGCACTTGTTGCTCTCATTGAATCCCCCCTCCACCCTTGCTCGCCGTGCTCATGCATTAGAAGGCACAGTAATCCGTTTTTAGAGTTGCTGTACAAACAAGCTGTACAAGATAAGACATTTCATCAGTTCATACAGACCTGTATCTCCAGATTCACATTTGCTATTCTCTAGAGAACTTTGCTTGGTGGGTCAGAGATCCTGACATTTCTTGCTCATCCATAATTCCAGGGATTGTTGTAGCAAGATATGGGCACATCTGGAAGGAGCAAAGAAAATTCACGTTGTGTACCTTGAGGAACTTCGGGATGGGAAAGAAATCCTTGGAGGAGCGAGTGGCAGAGGAAGCTGGATTTCTGTGCTCCGCAATCAATTCTGAAGAAGGTTTGTCACATCCAGGAGGACAGGGAAACCACAGAAAAAGGCAACACAGTGATGCAGAGAGAGAAGTAATACTACAGCCACTCTCGTTCTCATGCAGTGTTCTCCCTAAGCAAATGCAGTGTTTCTAGTCTATATGTGTTATTGACCCTGCTCTACCTTGAAGCCACTTCTACTTTACACAGTGGGGCTACTGTAACACTAATCCATTTGAAACAGGAGATAAATAGGAAATAAATAGAATTAAAGAGGTAAAATATAATTATTCCCAGAGCTGGGTAACTATTACCATTATGAAGTTTAGTGGGACATATTGATGTTATCACATGCAATAAAAGTGCAACTGAGAGTTTTCACAGCACTTTGCCTGTCATCTAGACGCAAAGTAACGTGTTATCTGTCAAGTCCCAGGACAACTCAGTTTTCTTGGGAGTTTTCTCAGGAGTTTTTTTGGGAGTTTTCTCCTTTAAACAAGGAACAACCAAATAGTGGTATGAAACGAGATCTTCACTGCCTAGTATGGTGCATTTGTACTTTGAGTGGTTTGGGGGCTTGTTCTCTTGAAGGCATCAAGGAGGCATTCGTGTATTCTTGTTGCTGACAGCTGAGATCCAACAGCTTGGTGTTGCTTAGCTTCATTCCTTGGTCTCCTTTTCCATTTTTAGGTCGTCCTTTCGATTTACGTTTTCTTGTAAATAATGCAGTCTGCAATGTGATCTGCACCACCGTCTATGGAGAGCGTTTTGATTACGGTGATGAGACATTCAAGAAGCTGTTAAAATTGTTTGAAAACTCCCTGAATGAAGAAGCTGGATTCCTGCCTCAGGTAAACCAAGAGTGTAATATGTTCTGTAAGAAGCTGCCCTCTCTTGCTGTGTATTCCTTTTTTTTTTTTTTAAGTTTTGGCATCACATAATATCTTCTCTCTCTCTCTCTCTGGTTTTGGCATCCCAGCTTCTTAATGAGGTGCCCATTTTGTTGCGCATCCCTGGAGTGCCACAGAAAGTCTTCCAAGGACAAAAGGCATTCATGGACTTCATAGACGTGCTCATAGATAAGCACATGGAGACCTGGAATCCTGCTTACATCCGAGATTTCACCGATGCGTTTTTAAAGGAAATGGAGAAGGTAGGGTGATGCCAGCAGAACCTCAGGGTCCAGGGGCAATTCCTATCTGTTTAAGCTTGTTGATAGAACCTGACTTTCCTCATAAAAGCGTATAAAACCTCTTACTAATTTCCTACTTTTTCATTCCATGTGGTATCTTGAGAAGAAAGGTGTTAACTTCTTCATGCTGTAACCTCCTTTATTACCTTAACAGACCATATTATCTACCGATGTTCTTGCTCCCATTTTATACCTTCACATTCCCCTCAGCGTCTAGCAACTCCCTTCTTTCCAGCCTATACCATTTTGAAGGCATTTACAAGGCAATGATTGAGAATTCACTAATATTTCTAAGTTTGTGCCAAGGCACAAGTCAATTTGTAAGATCCTGTGTATGTCAGTGGCTTAATGACCGACATCTCAAAATCAGTGACAAAACTGCAGCAACAGACAGGCTTTTTGGTATCATTGCCCAGTCTATAGCCTGTCTTTAAACCAAGCTGTGACTTGGAAAGACAGCATCTCCTGCAGGATGTGTGTCTTCGAATTGCTTGCTAAGAACCAGGTCCCTGCAGATCAGATGAAGTCTTAAATCTGAACCTCACCAAAATGAAAAGGAGTCTTTCCTTTGATTCAGTCAGGCATGAATTCAGTATAAAATCAAGGGCGCTTGCGTCAGCCCATCCATCCACCATATGTTTCTGCACATGGATTCACTACATTTCAAGTGCCAGATGAGCAATTGTAACAAATTCTGCCTGCAAATTGCTTCCACCATCCGAGTCCTCAGGCTGGGATGACAAACCCTGCTGTGCTGCAGGCACCGAGCACCTCCAGTCCATGCATTTAGCCCCCTGAGCTCGCACGGGCAGAACAACGTGCCCTACGTTACCCTGCACTGACCAATACTATCTGGGGGTGGATGTGAGCCTGACCATGTTGCCTCTTGTCACATCCCTCTTCTGTGCACTAAGGTCTCCTGAGAAGCCAGTCTGAGAAATCCTCCTACTGGGTTAACTTTGGTCAGGTCAGCCCCAAAGCAATCTTGCCAGAGATCTTTTATTGGAGTAACAGTTGAGTCCTAAATGCCTTATTAATTGCTATCCATATTACAACAGCATCAAAATATACAGAATAACTTAACAGAAGCTAGTCCCTAGGAAAGGCAAGCACAAAGAGGATTAGAAAAGACAAGCAGATGAACTCATGCAGAGAACTTGTCATATCTCATATGCTAACAAATTTGAGCTCAATTAGCATTTGGATGAGAGACCAGTTTTGCTGAAATTGGTGTTGCAGACTTAATAGGCAGCAATGATACCCTGATCTTTTTCTTTTTTTTTTGATTGTAAGAAAATAACAGGGCAGAAGCAGGGAGAATCTGTAATGCATAGCTATAGATAACCCCCTCAAAATACTGTTAATTTTGCATTTGCCACATCAATGCAGCCTCCTCTCTGCTGCGTGGGTTTTATGATCTGATCAAACCTGAATAACAGTGTTCCACCTCCTCTGGGGGAGGAAGTTATGGCAAGTGGCAGAGGCCTGCTGTCTGAGTTGAGAGCACAAGACGTTCGCTTCTGTCCTGAAGGCAGGTGTAGTGCTCACCTCCTGGGATACGGGAGGTGGCTGATGACCTTCAAATACAGGAGGTAACAGGATTACCAAAGCACATCAGTCATACACAGACCGTTGCCTGTGTTGTGCTCTATTCTCCCAATGAACTTCTTGGTCACCAAGAACGAATCTAGTGTTTCTCAGTACTTCTCTGGAACAATGGTCTTCTCGCCCAGCAGTACCCCAGCTTCAGTCACCCCTTGTTTGCTCTCTACAGGGTAAGGAGGCTGAAGAGAATGGTTTCACCTATAACAACCTTCGCCTGGTGACAGCAGACTTGTTTACAGCTGGTTCTGATACCACCTCCACCACCCTCCGGTGGGCAATTCTGTACATGCTTCTCCACCCAGAAGTACAAAGTAAGTCAGACGACAGGCAGAGGTGTGGCGTCTTCCCTTCAACCTTCATTTTTCTGCAAGGAAACTTCTCGTCATGGTTTGGGGATTCTGCAGTGAGGAACAGCTTTGGTGATCATTGGTCTGGCAGATACCAGGAATTTCTGGTATCTGCTCCAAACCAGAAGTTTGGAGACTTCCCAAACATAGCTATTCTGGCAGGGACAGGTGGCAGGGGGGAAGCCCTGATAAAAAGACTGGAGTTGGAAGGACAAGTTTGTTCTTGCCTTCCTTTTGAAGGCTACTTGGGGACTTCAAGTGGCCAGAGTACCCTCTTTTCCAGTATTTGAATAGATGCTAATCTCTTTTAATTATCAAATGCTGCATGCCCAGGTAGGCATTCAGCTGCATAGAGGAGGGGTAAGGTAGCATGTCAAGTGACAAGACCTTTATTAAAGACACTACGCATGAAGAACAGTTACACAAATGGCTCTGAGCAACTGAAAACAAATGCATTCCACCTCTAGCTTCTGTTCCTTTTTCTAATTGCTTGTCCTGCTCTCACCCAGTGTCTACAGTCTCATGCTGCCAGCCTTCCTATTGCTCGTACCAGCCTTTTCTGTTTATCCAAGGGTGCTCTAATTCCTTAGCTGCGCCTCTTTCAGGTAAGGTCCAAGCAGAGATTGACAATGTGATTGGCAAAGAGAGATCAGCCACCATGAAGGACCAAGTGAGCATGCCTTACACCAACGCCGTGATCCATGAAGTGCAACGCTTCGGGGATATCGTTCCTGTCGGCATACCTCACAGGACGTACCGGGACACCGAGCTGCAAGGCTTCTTCATTCCTAAGGTGACCATGGCCAGACAGGCAATGCAGCATCCTCTCTCCATGCAGACGCTAGGCCTGGGGTGTGGGTGACCCTCCTGCAACTCTGCAGTGTTGCACTTCCAGACCAAATTACAGTCACTGGCGAGCACTGAAGTAGGACAATTTGAAATGCTAAATGCGGGCAGGTGGTCACATGTTTGCTCTTGGTTTGGGCCGGTGATGTGGGAACCCAACTGCAGCAGCAGCTCAGCGCAAAGGTTTGCTTTCCTCTTAATGAGCTGTGACATCCCCTGCCCGTGTTGGAAGGAGAAAGTAATGGAGGCTAATGGGCCCTCTGGAGGCACACAACCCCAGCTTATTGGCTTTCCTAAGATGGTAGTAGTTAAAACTCCAATCTCTGAAGCTATTCAAATGCCACTGGCATTCACTCCACTGCCTTTGTGAGAGGCAGCCAGAGCGCTCTGCCCTGGCAGCACTGGTAGCACTGCAAGCCTAGGATTTTATCTTTCTTTTTTTCAGCCTTGCAATATCTCCTCTAGCTTAGAACACTGACATTTGAAACAGGAGAGGTTTGAAATTTCCCATGGCCCCTGCAAAAGTTGGGCTTTAGAGACTGCCAGTCAGCTTTCCCTCTCCAGCTACAAAACAAGTCCAGGAGGATCTGAGAAGCAGAGTCTTGTTTCCACTGTGTAACCACGAAATTGGCATTTGCATGCGATAGCCTGTGTGAGGACACGAACTGCAAAAGTTCAGATGCTTCAGAGCGTAGGGCAGGCACCGTATGCTATTGAAAAAAGCCTGCTTTACCTCTGTTTTAAATAAGATGCAGAAGATGAGACCAGTGCTTTATTCTGAAGCATGGAAGGATGGTTGCTATTTGATGGGAGAAACAGACCAAAGAGGGACCTGCACTGATCTGTTGTGCCAAGGTAATGCTGTTGTTCTCACCTAAGTTCTTTCCTCTTGTGGAGGACTGCAGGGGACGACAATCATCACCAACTTGTCCTCCGTGCTGAAGGATGAGACAGTCTGGGAGAAGCCAAACCAGTTTTACCCCGAACACTTCCTGGATGCGAACGGGCAGTTTGTGAAACCAGAGGCTTTCCTGCCTTTCTCAGCAGGTAAATCCGAGGGGAAGATCCAGGTGCAAGTCGGAGGCACAGCAGGAGGCACAGCTCCTCCCGCCCCGATTCCAGTGTGGTTAAATGTCCTCTTTCACTGACACTTGCTACTCCTTCTTTTGCAGGTCGCCGTGCCTGCGTGGGGGAACAGCTGGCCAGAATGGAGCTCTTTATCTTCTTTACCACTCTCCTGCAGAAATTCACATTTGTGCTCCCTGAAGGCCAGCCTAGACCACGGCAAGACGGTCATTTTGCCCTCATTAAGTCCCCACACCCCTACCTGGTGCAAGCTGTCCCAAGATAAGTGCACGCCACGCTCCTTTCACTCAGAGACCACCATCGATGCAAACGCTTGTCAGGAATGTTGCAGGTCTAGGCAGAATCATGCTGGGTTCCACTCAAGACCTCTCAAGTCTGTGCAGATGTCCCCAGCTGTGTGAACTAAGGATCTGGCCCAATATATAGCTTAGCTTAATTCCAGCCCTGGCTCTTGAATCAGACAGCGATAGCAGGTTACAAATAACCATCAAGTTTGCAAGTACGTGTACGCCTAATTAGCCAGCTCTGCTCTACCTTGGGCTCTCATCAGCTGCAGAAGCCGTTCACTGAGCATATGGCTACTGAAATTATTATTAGTCCTGGATCAGTTTACTGAAATACAAGGGTATCCTGGTTAAAAGACAACCCTGGGGTCTTGCCAATTCTAGGAGCAAAAAATCTTGGAAAAATTGTTAAGGTAGTCCTGGCCCAATCCCTTCCTTGTTAGCCCCACTACGCACCCCGCCACGCTCTGCCTCCCACGCAGTGCTGTCCCACAGCAACGTGTGCCTCTGCCTGGTGCCCAGGGGAGCCCAGCCCTGGCTCGGCTCCTGCAAAAGCAATCCACGGCCCGTCAGCTGATCTGGCGTGTGGGCAGGGAGATAGCTTCAGGTCCGTCAACAAGGTGACATTTAAATGCAGTCTCAGAACAGTGCTCCTCAATAATAAATATAGATCCGTCCAATAAATATAGATCCCCTTCATTCTTCCCCTGCGTACTCCCATCCATTGCACATATACTGCATTGTCTTCGTTTGTAGCCCCAAAGAAAGTAAGTCTTAACCCAGAGAAATGCCTGACAACCCTTATGTCACACTAAGCCTGCAGTAGGAGTAAATACCAAGGAATACGTAAATAATCCTAATGGTGTTTCAGCCACAGAAGCAGGTCATTTGTGAAATACAGAAAATCCTATATTTTAAGAGGAATCCAGGTGTCTAGATTTACCCTCTCCTATCTAAATAGCTCCTGAAAACTGCTTTTTTCAGCATTACATAAAGCTCTTGGGCAGGTTTGGAACTCAAAAAAGGGATGGGGTTATTCTGTTTGAAACAGCTGCAGATTTCGGAGCTGTCTGTCTCTTTCTTCCTGCGATATTCCTGACAAATTGTTTTGCAAGGTGTTAAGATATGTTGATGTTTAGATTAGCAGTAACTGCATTTTAACCACATGGATGAAAAGAGCATAGCATAAAGGAGCTTCTACATATAATCACAACTAAAGAAATCCACATTCACATCTATCTTTTTAATAACTAACTTTGGAAGTTATGAAATCTATTGAATTACGCAAATACTTAATACCGTTGTTAAGATTTTTACTTCAGCAGGAACTGCACATTTGTGCTTTTCATCTACAAAATAATCCAGTAGAATAAAAGCAGTCTGAAAAGTCATCTATTCCCCCCTCTCCTCTTTGTGGTCGTTTCGCAGAGCTGCCTCAGAAACTCACTTGGCAAATCTCTCCTTACAGCCAGCAGCCCACCTGTTTCTTTCAGTATCTTTTCAGTGCTGTTCTCCTGGTTGGAGAGCCCACCTGTTTCTTTCAGTATCTTTTCAGTGCTGTTCTCCTGGTTGGTCCAATGACACTGAACTGAACGTGCTTGGGTTTACAGCTTACAGCACACACAGAGAGCCCAACGTAGGGCAGCAAAGATATTAAGGGATTGGAGCACCTGCCTTACAAGGAAAGGCTCAAAGAGCTGGGGCTCTTCAGCCTCAAGAAGAGAAGGCTGAGGGGACACCTCATCTATGTTTACAAGTACCTAAAGGGTGGGTTGAAGGATGATGGAGCCGGACTCTTTTCAGTGGTTTCCAGTGATAGGACGAGGGGCAACGGGCACAAGCTGGAACATAGGAAGTTCCACTCAAATATGAGGAAGAACTTCTTTAGGGTGAGGGTGACAGAGCCCTGGAACAGGCTGCCCAGGGAGGTCGTGGAGTCCCCTTCTCTGGAGATCTTCAAGACCCACCTGGATGCAGTCCTGAGTAACAGGGGGCACAGTGAGGATGGGGCTCTAGCCGGGGAGCGTCCTGCTGCCTCCCCTCACCCATCGCCCCGGGGGCCTGCGGCGGCAGCGGCCGGGGTAGGGGGGCTCAGCGGGGACCTGCGGTAGCTGCTGCTCCCTCCCCGGTGGCTGCCGTGAGGCCGCGGAACCTCGGTGAGCCTTGCGAGACTAAACCCGCACCCTCTTTGTAACCGACCCGCTATCCCCTCCGCCCCTCCGCCCGCACCCGGGCCCAGCCCCTCCCACCGACGCAGGCCGTGAGGGGCGGGGCAGGCCACGGCCCCGCCCATCCGCTGTTTTGCTCCTCCTCTCAGCCAGCGGTGATTGCCGTTTTAGCTCGACCAATCAGATGGCCAAAAAGCCTAGAGTGGCAGCGCGGCCGACCAATAGAGAGCCGCCGTGCCGGTGCGCGTTTCCCACCGGCGGCGGGTGAAGGAGTGGCCGCGGCGGCGGCGGCTGCGGGAAGATGGCGGTGGCGGGGAAGGGAGCGGTGGTCGCGGCGGTGAAGCCGATTTTCAGCCGGGACCTGGGCGAGGCGAAGCGGCGCGTGAGGGAGCTGTACCGGGCCTGGTATCGCGAGGTGCCCAACACGGGTGAGGAGCGCGGAGCGGGCCGCGCATGCGCCCCGGCGAGAGCACGAGCTCAAGGTCGTAACGGCCGCCCTGCAGCCCCCGGGCTCTTAAAGGACCCGCCGCGGGGTCCCGGTTACCCCCGGTGTGCGGGGTCCCGCATCATATCGACGCGGTCCTTTTACCGCCTTGACCGGGTGAACGCGGTCGTGCGGGGCCTGTGGGCTGCCGGCCGTTCCGCGGCGCAGCGCCGGGCCGCCGCCGGGTTTGCCTTGCCCTTCCCGGCATGGCGGAGGACCCCCGGCCTCCTCCCGCCTTCCGTGGCTCCCCGAGATAAGCAGAGGAGAAATCTGGCTTTAATTTCCCACGGTAGGGAGGCGTGACATGATGGTCGGCCTCCTTCAGACTGCCCCGGGACTCACACCATGGCTGCGCTGTTAATTTGCTTTAAATTAAATCTTATGAGCCAAGCTGGCGGACGTGGCAAGAACACATGACCGTGTAGTGTTTTGTAGGGTTTTGTTGCACCTGGATCAGTGGAAAAAAAATAAGAAAGCAATATAGATGACCTCTGTGGGTGTTCTGTTTTCCTTAGTGCACCTGTACCAGCTGGACATCACGGTGAAACAGGGGCGTAACAAGGTGCGGGAGATGTTCATGAAGAACGCCCACGTGAGGGATCCACGGGTGATAGACATGCTGGTTATTAAGGTACAAACAAGGGATTCCCCTTTTGTCGAAGCTGTAGAGAATGTGAGAGTGGGTGATTGGTGGCGAGTGTCGTGGAGGAGAAGGGACAGTTTCGATCTCAGCTTGTGCTACAGAGGAGTTGTGTCTTGCAATCCCCGTTGGTTTCTCTCTGTCAACAAATTCGTTGATAAGAGCTCAAGCTGCTTTAGTGTGCAGAGGGACAGAGTCTTAGCTTGCCTAAGTTGAGAGTTGCTAAAATACAGATTTCTGGCACTCATTGTACAGGCTCTTCTAGTTTGCAGGTGTTTCTAAGAGGAAGTGTATGGCAAGCAAAATGTTTTTTTTTTAATTTAAGAAAACAATCAAAAAAAGGGGGAAAAGATGCTGCTAGCTAGTTTACCATTAAATATGACCTTTTTACTCCTTATAGTACTTCCTAAGATTGGGATGTGGTTTTCTTCACTGATGCTTAAACATACATTAGAGTGGTGGTACTTTGTGGGAGGCTGGCTTTGGGTGGCAAAATACCCCGAGTCTGTAACGCATCTGGCTCTGCCTGGTTTGAAGGAGTAATCAACCTAACAAGAGTAGGACAGGCTTTCAAAACAGGTCTGAGCAACAAGAACTGACCACTGGAGTTCTAAGGCGCTAGAAAGCTTCCAATGAAGGACTGCCATGCTCACCTGTTGTATTTTTTGTATTTCAAGACAGTTAGTCTACGTTAACACGATAAATCTGGAAACTGAATACTAGGTGATATGGTAGTTCCAGGCTATCTAATTCTGCCCTGTGCTGCCATCTTCCAAAACCAGTACACTAATTCCTAGACTGGAGTCATGAAGTTATGGTTAATATCTCTGGTAATGCTCTGCAAAGCTCTTAGCAGCAATTTTACTTAGTTTTACAGCTAATTTGCTGCTATTAAAAAAAAAAAAAAAGGTAAATGGAGATGCGTGGAAGTTAGGAATGTTATGTAGAATTTTATGCTGGTCGTGAGAGAAACAAGCCAGGCCCTAAGAAGGGGGCAGGGTCCCTTGCCTGTTCTGTGGGGCTGGGTAGCTGTGTTGCCAAGACAAGTGACTTGTTAATATAGGACAGGAAGCATTAAAATCACAAGGCAGGAACAATAAATATTTGTGTAACAGTCTAGGTGGTGCAAGCAGTCTTTAGGAGTACAGAATAGAGAATTGTTGATGCAGCTATCTTAAGGGTATTTCTAAGTGCATTCAAATAACTTTCATAGTCCTGTATAGTTAGAATCAGGCTTTAACTGCAGACTAGTCTAAAATTCTTTTGTCTGTGCACAGGGAAAAATGGAACTTCAAGAAACCATTCAGGTATGGAAGCAGAGGACTCACGTCATGAGGTACTTCCACGAGACGGAAACCCCACGACCTAAAGACTTTCTGTCCAAATTCTATGCGGGCCACGATCCCTGAGAGATTGCTTCCGTGTCTTCCTGGCTGGTATTACAAATAAAGTTCTATACAGTAGAAAAAAATCTGTATGGAAAGATTGCATAGCATATTAGGGGCCTGATGTCTAAATCTGAATCCAGAGTGCATGCAAGTCATTATGATCCGTATGAAGAACTGTGATTTCCTAGTTTTGCTAGTGTGTATTTTCAGCAGGAGTTTGTCCCATCGCTTGCCATGGAGTGTCCACAGAATAAGCAGGACACAACCTGGCTGTGGGGCTTTCTGCTTAGCCTGCATCTCTGTGGAGGAAAGAGCAGAAAAGCCAGTGACTACACTGGTAGAAATATTCTTGTGCTTGAGGCCCGTCTGTATTCATGCAGTGTTTTGCAATTTCATGCTATGACTTTGTTGACCTTGTGTTTTTCACTTGGACGCTAGTCTCTGTTTACTTCCTTGCAGAGAATGGGATAAAATCCAATAGGCTGATAAAGCCCTTTGTGCAATAAAAAGATCAGCAGAGTCCATTTCCCTGCTGTAAAGTGAAATTACCTGGGGTTTTGTATTGTTGTCCAAAATAGGGAGGCTGATGCCTAGCAGAAGATGGTGTCCTACCATCAGCTCCTTAATTGAATCGGGAATTACTAGCTCCCTTTTGAGAAGGATAAGGAGAATTTTTTCTTTCACCAGTCAGAAGAGGTTTTCGGCAGGTAACTCAGTGCAGGAGCTCCCTGATGTGTGATCAGTATTGAGTTTTTGTATTATGCTTAAACTTCTTTTTATCTGTGCCTAAATACCGGGGCTTTCTCCCCGATATGAGGACGGTAAAGCAGCACTCCTCAGGGATGTGTACGTGTATGTACCTAGGGGCTTTGGATCTGGGGTGTTTTTGAGGACAGGGTTGACACAGCCAGGAAGGGCTGGAAGAGGTGGTGGATAAAGCAGTGAGAAGGCATTTGGCAGTATAGAAAACAGGAGCAGAGATGTGAAGGAGGGGTAGCTCAGATATGGAGTGATTCAAGAACCTTCCAGCTGCCTTCAACTCCAGCTGTTGGGGTTGCTCAGACTGCAGGCTCCCTTTTGTCTCAGTAGCTAATGCTGGAGAGTGACAGAGCAGACATCAAAAGCTGTGCCAAATATTAAGGGAACAAATCTGGCTGTTTGAACGACACATCACGCTAATGCATGCAATATTAAAAGAAGCTTTCTAACAGCTACATGAATACTGAAGGAAAAGTGGGCAGTCAAAAAAAAAAAAAAAAAGAGGCCAGCTTTAGTGACCAGAAACCATGAGAGACATGCTGGGGCAATGCTGGCTTAAATTAAAAAAATTTTACTAACCTTTCAAGGTATCTGAGAAAACGGCTGGTCTGGTGAGACTGAAGATACTCTAAGCATACCTTAGCAGCAGAGAAGACCTTTTAAGTCTTATTATGCAAGGACTTAATTGCAATAGAAAACACTTCTATGAAAAGAATAGTTGAAGTTTATATTCAGTTAAGAAAATATATTGGGGCTCATATGGAAGGAAGTACTGAACTACCTAGTAGACACTAGGTACTTGGAACCAGAGCATTCAGAGACTTTCACTATTCAGAGATTAAATGCTGTAAAATGCATCAGCAAGTTAGTTTGCCACTTGTCATCTTAACCTCTACCAAAGCTACCCAAAACTTTTTACTCTGCAATGATGATACTGTATCTAATCCTCAGTGAGGTGAAATTAATGATACAGCCTCCATCAGATACACCTGCTAGGTTGTAAATCAGCATTACTTGAAGTGCAATGCCAGTCTCAATACAAGCTTCATTCTTTTAATGGGGCTGCTGCTTCCTCTAGGATTCCTGTCAGGTACTGTAGATTAGTACTGAATTACAGAAAGGACTCGTAAGAGGAAATAAATATGAAGAGAGCCTCCTTACTGGAATGTACAGAGGTAGAAGGGTTAAGACAGTAATGCTAGGACATAGGCACATAATCTATAAAAACACAAGACCAAAGTCATACATCTCGATCTCTTCATCTTTAATTAAGTGTTTCCCATATTGCTAATAAAAGGAATCCCAAGCAGTCTTTGATGAGGTGATCGTGTGTGTGCAAGGATGCAGGGCCTATCAAGCACTTCCTTCAACCCAGAGCTACAGATTTCCAGACACGTGCAGGACACTCACTGGCAAAGGGGATGCAGAGCCCCCCCGTCCCGTTTAGGAAGGACAAAGCACAAGTGACGGATGTTGGAACCATTGCGTTGTGAATGGTTTTTGCCCTTCTGTTCTTCCATAACAGTTCTGCAAATAGAACAATAAGCCATTACTCTTCAGATACACTGTACTGAGTTCCAGCCTGTACCTTCCCCCCAAACCACACAATGCAGGGGGGGGTTACATAAAAGGATTTTCTAACAGGCCACTGCAGTCTTTACAACCTTTTAATTCTCTGGTTTTAGCTGCACAGCACACGCTGGAAAATCCCTTTATCAAATAGAATACATCCACCAAACGGATTATAAAACACTATTTACAACAACGTCTTTAAAACAACTTTTGTTCTATAAATAAGTACACTCAAATATAAGTGTTTACACAAGGGCAAGCCAAACACAATAACAGAAAATGGAGGGAAGCGTGGTGTAGATAAAGGAAGAGCAGAAATAATTCACCTTTATCTGATGAGTCTGAATGGTCCAACTACTCCAGAGATCAGTGGTGTAACACCCACTGGACAGTTCGTTCCAATGGGTTCTGGAGTTCTCTCAGATTGTTCACCTCTATATCAAAATTTCATTCTCTTTTAAAAAACTCATTCTGTGAGTTAGCAAAAGACTTTTAAACAGGTAAATGTGTAATAATGCTGAAGCCCCTCTTTTCTGTCTGCAGTATAGACCCTCGCTGACTATAGTTTATTTTTATTTCTGGTTCAAATTAAAAGATCTGAACTGCCATCAGTTTATTACAATCTCTAACAAATGTATCTTGTGGAGATTTCACATTCAGATACCAGTCTGGCCTACTGCAGTATAAAGGAATTGAAAAGTTTGTAGCCAGAGGCAGTACAGCTGTAGGTGTCCATGTGTTTAACTGCAAATGCAACTTTTAGAGCTGCTGCTGTCTGTATTTCTGAGATTCTTTTCCCTGCCCTAAGTCAAACAGGAAGCATAAATAATTAGATTGCTGATGATCTTAATGACATACCCTTTAATCATCATCGTCATCATCCTCTGGGACAAAGATATCATGTTCTTCAAGTAGGGCTGCAAAGTTCTTACTGATCTGAGTCCCGACGTACAGGAAAGGGATCACAACGCTGAACACTCTGAGGAGGCCGAAGGGCGTCTGCAGGGAGTCAATTGGAAAAGATTAATCTTTACCAGCAAATTGCCCTGTGGCTGAGCCTGCACATTCCCAGCTCCACAAGGGCACAGAGGGCCCAGGGAGCAGCAGGAGAAATGCTTTGCTCTCCGTAGGGCCAGACCCCATCACCGCACAGCACAGAATCACAGAATGGCAGGGGTTGGAAGGCACCTCTGGAGATCATCTAGTCCAACCCCTCTTCCCAGCAAGTTCACCTACAGGAGGTTGCACAGGATCACATCCAGGCAGGTTTTGTCTATCTCCAGAGAAGGAGACCCCACAACCTCTCTGGGCAGCCTGTTCCGGTGCTCTGCCACCCTCAAAGTGAAGAAGTTTTTCCTCGTGTTGAGATGCAATCTCTGGTGTTCCAGTCTGTGCCCATGGCCCCTTGTCCTATTGCCGGGCACCACTGAAAAGAGTCTGGCCCTATCCTCTTGATACCCCCTTTTTAGATATTTATAAGCATTGATAAGATCTCCTCTCATTTTCCTTAGTCTTGTCTTCTCCAAGCTAAACAGATCCAGGTCTCTCAGCCTTTCCTCATAAAGGAGATGCTCCAGTCCCTTGACCATCTTCGTAGCCCTCCACTGGACTCTCTCCAGCAGTTCCTTGTCTTTATTGACCTGGGGAGCCCAGAACTGGACACAGTAGTCCAGATGTGGCCTCACCAGGGCAGAGTAGAGGGGGAGGATGACCTCCCTTGATCTGCTGGCCACACTCCTTCTAATGCACCCCAGGAGACCATTGGTCTCCTTGGCCACAAGGACACATTGCTGGCTCACGGTCAACTTCTTGTCCACCAGGACTCCCAGGTCTCTCTGCAGAGCTGCTTTCCAGCAGGTCAGCCCCTAACCTGTACTGGTGCATGGGGTTATTCCTCCCCAGGAATAACCTCCCTACGTTTGCCCTTACTGAACTTCATTAGGTTCCTCTCCACCCAACTCTCCAGCCTACCCCGGTCTCTCTGTATGGCAGCAGAGCATTCTGGTGTGTCAGTCACTCCTCCCAGTTTTGTGTCATCAGCAAACTTGCTGAGGGTATGCTCAACCCTATCCAGGTTGTTGAATCACAAAATCACAGAATCTTCTAGGTTGGAAGGGACCTTAAAGATCATCTTGTCCAACCGTCAACCTAACTTTGACAAAAATAAACACCCGCACAACAAACAAAAAGCAACACCACCACTAAACCATATCTCCCAGCACTACATCACTAGACTAGAACTAGACTGGCCCCAGTACCGACCACCTGGGGAGCACCACTAGCTACAGGCCTCCAGCTGGGCTCTGTGCCCCTGATCATAACCCTCTGAGCTCTGCCATTCAGCCAGTTCTCCATCCGCCTCACCGGCCACTCACTTAACCCACGCTTCCTGGGCTTATCTATGCGGATGTTACAGGAGACAGGGTCAAAAGCCTTGCCAAAGTCGAGGCAGACAGCGTCCACTGCTCTCCGCCCATCCATCCATCCATCCATCCATCCATCCATCCATCTCGTAGTGCAACCCCCAGCATCGGGACAAGAGGAACCCGCGGGGGCTCGGTGCAGGGAACACCAGTGGGAAGGGACAGCGGCTACCGGTGTGAAACAGCCGCGTACGGGGAGTGCTTATCGCCTCCTCAGGGCGGGGACCACCGCCGGACCGCGCCGCCCAGGGGAAGCGAGCGGGGCCCGCCCCGACCCCTCAGGGCCGCTCCCGTCACCCACCCGCTGCCGAGCACTTCCGCACCGCCGCCCCGCCCACAGCGCGCCCCTCATTAGCCCAGACCCTGTCACTCACTCCCACCGCCCCACCCACAGCCGACACGCCAGCATCGATTGGCCAGCGCTACCGTCCATTACGCCGCCATTGGTCTGCCGCTCCCCACCCGCTCGCCCCTCACTCACCTTAACCGGCTTGGGCAAAATGGCGCCGCTGCGGGTGACGGTGGCGCTCCGGAAGGGCACAAGCTGCGTGGCCGGGGAGCTGCGCGGCCCGCCCCGGCCCGCCCGCCCCAAGCGAGCCGCGGCCGTGGCCAGTAGCCGCCCGCCTGCCGCCGCCGCCATTCTCTCTCTTGCCCGTAACGGCCGAGCCGAGGCGTCACCCGGGGCGGTGGGGCCGGCGGCTCTCGCGAGGTGTGAAGGGAAGGGCGGGGCCGCGCATGCGCAGGGCGGGCAGGGGCCGCCCCCGGGGGCAGGGGGGGAGCGGGGGGCCCG